GTGTATAATAATGCTCCTGGGGATTTTGACATTAGAAATGACACAATCCATATAGCCAATTCAAGCACTCATTTGGCTTATCTGTGTAGGCTTCTGGTGTACAGTGTTGGCCTCATAACTACAATCATGTACATTTTCATTCACAAAACATTAATATGCAGTTCAGATCTCATCACGTCTCGCGATGAGATCTTCAGTGTCAAGCTTCCTCCTCCAACCAACATACCAGGTTCAACGCTACAAACAACACTCTCCTCCTGCAGACCCGTTACCCCCGAGGAGGTTGCCAAACTCTTTTCTGAGGTCCACCTCACCACCTGTCTTCGAGGCCCTGCCCCCCCCCCCACATTTATTGTGGCCCTCCTTCCTGCTCTATCATAAACTCTCTAACCCACAACTTCAACCTCTCCACCGACACCTTTCACTCCCCAATCAAACATGCACTGGTTCACCCCATACTTAAAAAACCCTTGCTGGACCCCACCTGTTTGAATAACTTAAGGTCCATCTCCTGGCTCCCGTTTGCCTCCAAGGTTCTCGAACGCCTTGTCCACAACCGTATGAGTTGCCTCCTCAGCGACAACAACATTCTCGATCCCCTACAGTCTGGCTTCCCCTACAACATTCCACTGAAACTACCCTACTAAAACTCACTAACAACCTACGAACTGCTAAAACCAATGGCCACTGCTCCATACTCTTAGACCTTTCCGCTGCATTTGACACAGTTGACCACCCACTCCTCCTCAGTAAACTCCACTCCTTTGGCCTCAGTGACTCAGCTCTGTCCTGGTTCTCCTCTTGCACTTTCAGCATCAAATACAACACCAACTCCTCTTCCTATTGGGGTACCCCAAGGCTCTGTCCTTGTTCCCCTCCTTTTCTCTCTCTACACCTCCTCCCTGGGTCAACTGATAACCTCCCATGGCTTCCAATACCACTTCTACACTGACGACACCCAGATCTATCTCTCCACTTCCCAGCTCACCCCCTCGATCTCCTCGCGTATCACAAATCTACAGTTTATCAGTACGGATGCCACACCACTTCCTCAAACTCAATCTTTCTAAAACGGAGCTTGTAATATTTCCTCCTCCCTAATCCCCCAGTCATGACTTTACTATTAAGATCAACAGCACAACCACTGGTCTCTTCCCCTCATGCCAGGGTGCTAGGCGTAATCTTAGACTCTGACCTCTCCTTTGGGCCCCACAGCCAATCACTGGCTAAATCCTGCTGCCTCAACCTCTGCAACATTTCCAGAATTCGCCCCTTCCTGACCCCGCCCTGGTTATATCCCGTCTTTATTACTGCAACTCCCTTCACACTGGCCTACCTTTACACACGCTATCCCCCTTCAGTCTATTATGAATGCTGCTGCTAGACTGCTGCCCCTCTCTGTCAATCCCTTCACTGGCTTCCACTAGCCCAATGTATGAAATTCAAAATACTATCCACAACATACAAAGCCATCCACAACACTGCCCCTAGCTATATCAACAACCTCATCCGTAGATATTGTCCAAATCGTCCGCTCCATTCCTCCCAAGACATCTTACTCTCTAGCTCCCTTGTCACCTCCTCCCATGCCCGCCTCTAGGACTTCTCCAGAACCTCTCCCATATTCTGTAACTTCTTACCCCAGTATGCCTGGGAAGCCTTTAGGCGATCTTTGAAAATCCACTTATTCAGGGAAGCCTACCCCACCTCCACCTAAGAACTGCATTTGAATCACCTCCACCAGATCATCCCCCACAGCTATCACCTTTTGTATCTCCTCCTCTTCCTTTAGATCAGTGGTTCTCAACCTTTCTAATGCCGCGACCCCTTAATACAGTTCCTCATGTTGTGGTGACCCCCAACCATAAAATTATTTTCGTTCCTACTTCATAACTGTAATTTTGCAGTGGGAGGACTAGTGCCACATCATTGGTGTCAGTGGAAGGAGTAGTGCCCCATCACTGATGTCAGTGGGATGAATAGTGTCCCATCGTTGGTGTCAGTGGGAGGAATAGTACCCCATCGTTGGTGTCAGTGGGAGGAATAGTACCCCATCGTTGGTGTCAGTGGGAGGAATAGTGCCCCATCGTTGGTGTCAGTGGGAGGAATAGTGCCCCATCGTTGGTGTCCCTCATCGTTGGTGTCAGTGGGAGGAATAGTGCCCCATCGTTGGTGTCAGTGGGAGGAATAGTGCCCCATCGTTGGTGTCAGTGGGAGGAATAGTGCCCCATCGTTGGTGTCAGTGGGAGGAATAGTGCCCCATCGTTGGTGTCAGTGGGAGGAATAGTGCCCCATCGTTGGTGTCAGTGGGAGGAATAGTGCCCCATCGTTGGTGTCAGTGGGAGGAATAGTGCCCATCGTTGGTGTCAGTGGGAGGAATAGTGCCCCATCGTTGGTGTCAGTGGGAGGAATAGTGCCCCATCGTTGGTGTCAGTGGGAGGAATAGTGCCCCATCGTTGGTGTCAGTGGGAGGATAGTGCCCCATCGTTGGTGTCAGTGGGAGGAATAGTGCCCCATCGTTGGTGTCAGTGGGAGGAATGGGAGGAATAGTGCCCCATCGTTGGTGTCAGTGGGAGGAATAGTGCCCCATCGTTGGTGTCAGTGGGAGGAATAGTGCCCCATCGTTGGTGTCAGTGGGAGGAATAGTGCCCCATCGTTGGTGTCAGTGGGAGGAATAGTGCCCCATCGTTGGTGTCAGTGGGTGGAGGGGGAAATAGTGCCCCATCGTGGTGTCAGTCAGTGGGGGAATAGTGCCCCATCGTTGGTGTCAGTGGGAGGAATAGTGCCCCATCGTGGTGTCAGTGGGAGGAATAGTGCCCCCATCATTGAGTGGGAGGAATAGTGCCCCATCATTGGTGTCAGTGGGGAGGGGGAAATAGTGCCCCACCATTGGTGTCAGGGGGGGGGGGGATAGTAGCCCATCCTTTTGTGTCAGTGTGGTGGCCCCATCATTGGTGGGGGTGAATAGTGCCCCCATCATTGGGGTCAGGGGGGAATAGTGCCCCACCATCGTTGTCAGTGGGAGGAATAGTGCCCCACCTTTGGGGTCAGTGTGTGGGGGGAGGATAGTGCCCCATCGTTGGTGTCAGTGGGGGGAGGAATAGTGCCCCATCGTTGGTGTCAGTGGGGGGAGGGAATAGTGCCCCATCGTTGGTGTCAGTGGGGGGAGAATAGTGCCCCATCGTTGGTGTCAGTGGGGGGAGGAATAGTGCCCCATCGTTGGTGTCAGTGGGGGGAGGAATAGTGCCCCATCGTTGGTGTCAGTGGGGGGGAATAGTGCCCCATCGTTGGTGTCAGTGGGGGGAGGAATAGTGCCCCATCGTTGGTGTCAGTGGGGGGAGGAATAGTGCCCCATCGTTGGTGTCAGTGGGGGGAGAGGAATAGTGCCCCATCGTTGGTGTCAGTGGGGGGAGGAATAGTGCCCCATCGTTGGTGTCAGTGGGGGAGGAATAGTGCCCCATCGTTGGTGTCAGTGGGGGGAGGAATAGTGCCCCATCGTTGGTGTCAGTGGGGGGAGGAATAGTGCCCCATCGTTGGTGTCAGTGGGGGGAGGAATAGTGCCCCATCGTTGGTATTAGTGACAAAAATGATGGGGCACTATTCCTCCCACTGACACCAATGATACTTACCTTGCTGACCCCTGCTCCAGCCTGGGCTCGCTCTCACTTACCTGTCAGCTGTCTTCCTTCTCTGGCCGCTCTCCTCTTCACTTACTCCGGCAGCTCCCTCAATCTTCTTTGATCTACGCGCGCTGCCGCTCGGCTCCTCCTCTCCAACCTCCACCTCCTCGCCGGTGATTGGCCGCCTGTGTGCCTCTCCTGAGCTACAGTTCCAGTGGCCAATCAGGCGTGAGGAGGCGGAGCTGTTGAGTGATCCCGGAGGTGTGGCCAGGTGACAGGGGCAGCGTATCATCCCGCCCACACATCGCCTGAGTCAGAGGAGCGGTGTCTCGGTTCCTAAGACCATCGGAAATATGTGTTTTCCGATGGTCTTAGGCGACCCCTGTGAAATGGTCGTTCGACCCCAAAGGGGTCACGACCCCCAGGTTGAGAACCGCTGCTTTAGATAGTAAGCTCCATGAGCAGGGCCCTCCTATTCCTTCTATATTGAACTGTATTGTAATTGTACTGTCCCCTTTATATTGTAAAGTGCTGCGCAAACTAGTGGCGCTATATCAATCCTGTATAATAGAAATAACCTTGTCCTTGGTCACTTATGCAAACAGGTACTTTTCCATTAAAAACTGATGTAACGTTTATAATGAAAAACCTTACCTGCTGCATTGTAGACTATTCATCATACCATGGCCACAGCTGTCCTCAGTAACCAAAGTGATAGAGAGGGACGTGTGATATCATATCACAGGAACACAGACAACTAAAGGGCAACTACATGAATATGAACCAAGCATATTAAAACATCTGCAAGTAATATTTATTAGACAGACAGTATGACAAGTCAAGGTCTATTAGCCAAGATGAAAGTAGACTTCTGAGGATCAAAGCAATACATTGACATACAGTTAGGTCGATATATATATATATATATATATATATCATATTTTTCGCTCCATAAGATGCACCTGACCATAAAACACACCTAGGTTTTAGAGCAGGAAAACAAGAAAATAATATTCTGAACCAATGGACTGCAGACAGCACAGGGGATGACCAGAGACTGCGGACACGGCACAGGGGATGACCAGAGACTGCGGACACAGTACAGGAGATGACCAGACACTGCGGACACAGTACAGGGGATGACCAGAGACTGCGGACACAGTACAGGAGATGACCAGAGACTGCGGACACAGTACAGGAGATGACCAGAGACTGCGGACACAGTACAGGAGATGACCAGACACTGCGGACATACCACAGGAGATGACCAGAGACTGCGGACACAGTACAGGGATGACCAGAGACTGCGGACACAGTACAGGAGATGACCAGACACTGCGGACACAGTACAGGGGATGACCAGAGACTGCGGACACAGTACAGGGGATGACCAGAGACTGCGGACACAGTACAGGAGATGACCAGAGACTGCGGACACAGTACAGGAGATGACCAGACACTGCGGACATACCACAGGAGATGACCAGAGACTGCGGACACAGTACAGGGGATGACCAGAGACTGCGGACATACCACAGATGACCAGACACTGCGGACATACCAACAGGAGATGACCAGGGACACTGCGGACATACCACAGGAGATGACCAGACACTGCGGACATACCACAGGAGATGACCAGACACTGCGGACATACCACAGGAGATGACCAGACACTGCGGACATACCACAGAGATGACAGACACTGCGGACATACCACAGGAGATGACCAGACACTGCGGACATACCACAGGAGATGACCAGACACTGACACAGTACAGGAGATGACCAGAGACTGCGGACACAGTACAGGGGATGACCAGAGACTGCGGACACAGTACAGGGGATGACCAGAGACTGCGGACACAGCACAGGAGATGACCAGAGACTGCGGACACAGCACAGGAGATGAACAGAAACTGCTTATCTTTGGGGCGAGAGAGGGAGCGGGTACCCGAATTTGACAGGTACCCGCTCCCACTTCCGCGGAGTTGTCCTCCCTCCCCGTCTTCTGGGACAAGTGACAGGTCCCAGAAGACTGCCAGACCTTTCGCAAAGCGCAGCACTTCTCGCACATGTCACAGCCGGGTGCCCACACTAAAGATGCCGGCGTCGGGAGAGACGATTGTACAGCGCTGGACCGAGGAACAGGTAAGGCTCTGCTGCAGAGAAGAGCCGAACGGCTGGCATGGTATTCTGACACAGCGGCGACGGGAATACCGGACCAGCCACTCCATATGACGCATAGACATTTTCCCCCATTTTTGGGGGGGGGGGGGGAGTGTGTCTTATGGAGCGAAAAAAACTGGCACAATTTTAGTTTTTTTCAGGTGTTTACCAAAACATATTCAAGCTATAGTTATATAATGGATATGGGCTGAACGTGCACACTCTCAGGTTTAATTTGAGGGTATGTACATCCAACTTGGAGGAAGGGTTTAGGAATTACAGCTTTAAGAGTAGCCATCACCCCTTCTTCAAGGGACCAAAATCAATTGGACAATTGAATCAAAAGCTGTTTCATGGCCAGGTGTGGGCTACTCCTTCATTAGTTCTTAATCAATTAAGCAGGTAAAGGGTCTGGAGTTGATTCTAAGTGTGGTATTTGCATTTGGAATCTATTGCTGTGAACCTACATCATGCATTCAAAGGAGCTGTCCATGCAAGTGAAATGGGCCATTGTAAGGCTTCAAAAATTAAACAAATCCATCAGAGAGATAGCAGCAATATTAGGAGTGGCCAAATCAACAGTAGACTATTCTGAGGAAAGAAGAATGCACTGGTGAGCTCAGCAACATAAAAAGGCATGGACGTCTACAGAAGGCAACAGTGGTGGATGATCGCAGGTTCCTCTCTATGGTAAAGAAAAACCCATTCACAACATCCAGACAAATGAAGGACACTCTCCAGGAGGTAGGTGTATGTGTGTCAAAGTCTACAATCAAGAGAAGACTTCACAAGAGCAAATACAGAGGGTTCACCACAAGGTGAAAACCATTCATAAACCTGAAGAATAGAAATGCCAGATTAGACTTTGCCAAAAAAAATCTAAAAAAGCCAGACCAGTTCTGGAAAAGCATTTTGTGGACGGATGAAACTAAGATTAATCTATACCAAAATGACAGGAAGAAAAAAGGGTGAAGGCTTAAAAACAGCTCATGATCCAAAGCACATAACGTCATCTATAAAACATGGTGGAGGCAGTGTGATGGCATGGGCATGCATGGCTTCCAGTGGCACTGGGTCATTGGCGTTTATTGATGATGTGACAGAAGACAGAAGCAGCCGGATGAATTCTGTAGTGTTTAGAGATATACTGCCAGCCCAGATTCAGCCAAATGCAGCAAAGTTGATTGGACGGTGCTTCACAGTACAGATGGACAATGATCCAAAACACACTGCAAAAGCAACCCAGGTGCTTTTGTCTGAAAAGAAGTGGAATATTCTGCAATGGCCAAGTCAGTCACCTGATCTCAAGGCAATTGAGCATGCATTTCACATGCTGAAGGCAAAACTAAAGGCAGAAATACCCACAAACACAGAACAACTGAAGACAGCTGCAGTTAGAGCCTGGCAAAGTATCAGAAAGGAGGACACCCAGTCTTTGGGAATGTCCATGGGTTCTAGACTTCAGGCAGTCATTGCCAGTAAAGGATTCTCAACAAAATATTAAAAATGAACATTTTATTTATGATTATATTCATTTGTCCAATTACATTCGAGCCCATGAAAATGGAGGGACTGTGTATAAAAATGGTTGCAGTTCCTAAAATTTCTACTTATATTTATGTTCAAACCCTTGAATTAAAGCTGAAAGTCTGCGCTTCAAGTTCATTTGGATTGTTTCAATTTAATTTATTCTGGTGGCATACAGAGCCAAAAGTCTGAAAATTGTGCCTGTGTCCAAATATATATGGACCTAACTGGAGGTCCACCACAATCCAGGAGCACAAAGGCCACAGTTGACCAAACAAACTTACCAAAAAGGCTCTTAGGTCCGGTTAACACCTATGTGTTTTTTTAGTTCTTTTTGTATTTTTCAGAAGCTCACTACAGTCTATGTAACATGGTTTCCTATGGGACATGTGCATATCTATGTGTTTTCAGCTGCTGCATTTTTGAAAAGGGTTAGGGACCTTTTTTACCGCAGCAAATTGCAGCACACATAGGTGTGAACCAGGCCTAATGTCAAAAATACATTATAGATGACAATTTTTGGAAGAGCCATACAGCAGAGCAAGGCCTCCAGCATCAATACTGAGCCATGGATTGAGATGTAATAAATGTGTAGATGGCCACAAACTGCTCAGGAATTCACACCTATTACCTGGAAATGATGATCTGGTGTGCAGAGAAGTAGGATTCTAGTCTAATGCAGGCCATAGACGGGGAGAAAAAACGGGCAATTTTTCTTTTAAAAAACGAAAAAAAAAATCGGTCGTTCAAGCGGCCGATGTTACCATCAATGGTAAAAAAAAAAAATCGGCCGATTTTCATCCCGTCTACAGCTGGCAAAAAGTGTCCCTGCAGAGAGCTACGCTATTTCTTTGACAGTTCTCTGACAGTTCCTTGACATTTATAGAGGTTGCAACAATGTATCTATTTGTTTCCATTTAGGATACAGATGTTTTTATTCGGAAACAAATAGATACAATGTTGCAACCTCTATAAATGTCAAGGAACTGTCAGAGAACTGTCAAATAAATAGCGGAGCTCTCTGCAGGGACACTTTTTGCTGGACTGGAATTCCTCTTATTTTCATCCTACTTCTTCTTCTTCATCCTCATCCTCTTCTTCTTCTTCATCCTCATCCTTTTCTTCATCCTGATCCTCTTCTTCTTCATCCTCATCCTCTTCATCCTCATCCTCTTCTTCTTCCTCATCATCCTCCTCTTCTTCCTCATCATCCTCTTCTTCTTCATCCTCTTCTTCTTCTTCATCCTCTTCTTCTTTTTCTTCCTCATCTTCTTCTTCTTCATCATCCTCTTCTTCTTCTTCATCCTCTTCTCCTTCTTCATCCTCATCCTCTTCTTCTTCTTCTTCTTCATCTTCTTCATCCTCTTCTTCTTCATCATCTTCTTCTTCTTCATCCTCATCCTCTTCTTCATCATCCTCTTCTTCTTCATCCTCATCCTCTTCTTCATCATCCTCATCTTCATCCTCATCCTCTTCTTCTTCCTCCTCTTCTTCTTCTTCATCCTCTTCTTCTTCTTCATCCTCTTCCTCTTCTTCATCCTCATCTTCTTCTTCCTCATCTTCTTCATCCTCATCCTCTTCTTCTTCATCCTCTTCTTCACCCTCATCCTCTTCTTCATCCTCATCCTCTTCTTCTTCTCCTTCTTCATCATCCTCATCCGCATCCTCTTCTTCTTCATCCTCATCCTCTTCTTCTTCATCCTCTTCTTCTTCATCCTCTTCTTCTTCATCCTCCTCCTCTTCTTCTTTTTGTCTTCCTCTTGCAGGTCACTGCTCATGCGCGCAGATTTTTTATCGGTAAAAAATCGGCCAATTTGCCCACTAATTGCCGCGAAAATCGACCGATCGGCAAAAAAAAAAAAACGGCCAAAATACCGAAAAATGGCCGAACAAATAGCCCACTAACGATCCGAAAATCGGCCGATTTTATTTTCGGCCGAAAAATCGGCCGATTTTCGACCCATCTATGGCCTGCATTAGGCTGGCCATACATTATACAATTATCTGGAGATTTTTGGTTTAGATTTACCAAAAACCATATAATAGGAGGACAAACCTAAACAACACTTTCAGTTGTTTCCAATTAGGCAGGCCCTTGCACTATACAGTTGAAGGTAAATCTACAGGAAATTGGGCAGAAATTTGGAAGATAATTGTATAATGTATGGCCAGCCTTAACATAACCCTGTCACTAATGCAGGCCATAGACGGGGAGAAAAACGGCCGATTTTTCTTTTAAAAAACGAAAAATCGGTCGTTTCAAGCGGCCGACGTTACCATCAATGGTAAAAAAAAATTGGCCGATTTTCATCCCGTCTACAGCTGGCAAAAAGTGTCCCTGCAGAGAGCTCCGCTATTTCTTTGACAGTTCTCTGACAGTTCCTTGACATTTATAGAGGTTGCAACAATGTATCTATTTGTTTCCATTTAGGATACAGATGTTTTATTCGGAAACAAATAGATACAATGTTGCAACCGCTGTAAATGTCAAGGAACTGTCAGAGAACTGTCAAAGAAATAGCGGAGCTCTCTGCAGGCACACTTTTTGCTGGACTGGAATTCCTCTTATTTTCATCCTACTTCTTCTTCTTCATTCTCATCCTCTTCTTCTTCTTTTTTTCGTCCTCATCCTCTTCTTCATCATCATCATCCTCATCCTCTTCTTCATCCGCATCCTCTTCTTCTTCTTCATCCTCATCCTCTTCTTCATCCTCATCCTCTTCTTCTTCTTCTTCATCCTCATCCTCTTCTTCATCATCCTCTTCTTCTTTTTCTTCTTCTTCCTCATCTTCTTCTTCATCCTCATCCTCTTCTTCTTTTTCTTCTTCATCCTCTTCTTCTTCATCCTCTTCTTCTTCTCCTTCTTCATCCTCATCCTCATCTTCTTCTTCCTCATCCTCTTCTTATTCATCCTCATCCTCTTCTTCATCCTCTTCTTCTTCATCCTCATCTTCTTCTTTTTCTTCTTTATCCTCATCCTCTTTTTCATCCTCATCCTCTTCTTCTTCTCCTTCTTCATCCTCATCCTCTTCTTCTTCTCCTTCTTCTTCTTCCTCATCCTCATCTTCTTCTTCATCCTCATCTTCTTCTTCCTCATCTTCTTCATCCTCATCCTCTTCTTCATCCTCATCTTCATCCTCTTCTTCTTCATCCTCATCCTCTTCTTCTCCTTCTTCATCATCCTCATCCGCATCCTCTTCTTCATCCTCTTCCTCTTCTTCATCCTCTTCTTCATCCTCTTCTTTCTTCTTTTTGTCTTCCTCTTGCAGGTCACTGCTCATGCGCAGATTTTTTATCGGTAAAAAATCGGCCGATTTGCCCACTAATTGCCGCGAAAATCGGACGATTTTTTTTTCCAACTTTACCAAAAAAACGGCCAAAATACAGAAAAACGGCCCGAACAAATAGCCCACTAACGATCCGAAAATCGGCCGATTTTTTTTCCGATTTTCGACCCATCTATGGCCTGCATAAGTGGCCAAATTTAAACCAGCACACCCAGTAAAACTTTGTTCACATCTAGTGTACGCAGAACATCAAGCTTTTAGTGCGTTTTTACATGAGCGGGTTTTGC